TTGTCTCGCAGCTCTTGTCGCTTCAGCAGACGCAAGACCAGGTGCAATCGTGTGCTCGGCCGCGATGCATGGAGCGCGCACCCGCAACTCCGGGGCGACGAGAAGCTTTGTGCGAACGACTTGCTTCCTGTCTCTGTGGACGAGACTCACCGCGTGCATCTGCAGCGGCGGCGGCTGGCGCATCGTGAACATCCTGTCTGCATGGCTGGCGCCTAGGACTTCTGGAGCGCGCATCCGCAACTCCCTGGGGAGAAAAAGGAGACACAGCCTCCGCCACAGACCTGTCCTTCGGCCGACGTGGAAGTGGAGAACATGAGGCAGATGCGGCGAGAGATGCCTCTTGCCCCTCGCCAGGAGCGGAGCGCGCAGCCGCAGCTCGAGGCGGGGAAGGCGATGCGGAAGTAGACGGATCAAAATCCGGAGAGGTCGTGGAATCATCTTGTTGTTGCGCCATCTTGGTCGCACACGTTCGGACACAAGGGGATCCGAAGCTGAAGCCAAGCGGCGCTATGGAAAGAAAGTGGATCCCAAGCAGCTAAAACAATGTGCCAGCGGGTTTGAACCAGCTGTCAAAAAAAAAACATGAGAGCACATATAGAAGCAGTGCGGGATTGAACCAGCGATTTAAAAAAACAGATGAGAGCACACATAGAAGCACATATATGAGAGTATACATAGGAAAAGACCCATATGAGAGCACATCAGAGCACTCATATGAGAGCACAAGTGTGACAGCACATAGAAGCACCAACCTGAGAGCACATAGGTTAAGGAAGCTCTTGGCTCGACCACTACCGTCACCCCCACCAGCAGTACCACCAGCACCGCCACCACTGATAGCAGCAACCGCCCGGCAGTGGCTTTGTTGGCCAAAGTCCAAAGTGCCACAGGAATCTCCATCAGGCTCGGCTCTTCCGTGAGAGTGACTTTGGTGTAGTGATGGAGTCGTGGTGATCCAAAAGAGCAATCCCAAAAGAGCGGTCTAAGACAGCAGTTAGGAAGGAGCGCCCGTGAACGAAGCAGCCATGAATCATGCTCAAGCACTACTTCAATACTTTGGAATGACTATAGAAGAATGTAGCAGTCAGACAGTACGAAAGTAGAAGCGCGCCCACCCGAGCAGCGGAATTGTGCTTTTTCAAGAGCCGCGCGCAGAGAAGAAGTAGCAAAACCCTCACGGTGTCACACGAGAAAGCGAAGCCAGCTGTGCGCAAACGCAACAGCCATCCGAGTACAAGCAAGCAAAACCCTCACGACGTCACGCGAGACAGCGAAGTTAGCTGTGCGCAGCCGCAACAGCCATCCGAGCACAAGCAACATACCAAGCCCAGCAGGAAGACTGGCTGGGCGGTAGTGGAAGCACTTGGAACCGTCCGCGCGCAGCCGCTGCGAAGACGCAAAAGAAAGGTCACAGAAAGCCATCAGCGGTTGAGACAACGCTGAAACCTGGCAGTAAAGGCTTTCCGCGAAGTCACCGCAGGACCACTCGACAGAACCACAGGCTCAGCGTCGCCAGCGGCACTCTTTCCGGGATGCAACCGAACATGACATCCATCCTGCTGCCACACCTGGAAGTCCACGCGAGGGGCGTGTGTATTGGGGTCCAACTCCTCCGGGAAGGAGGCGATGCCAAAACACACCACGCCCGTGGGACCGCACGCCACGGTCTTGGACGCCTCTGGCAGGGTCGCGATGAAATCGTGCCAGGGACATGTCTCCGAATTGGAGAGCTCTTCCCAGTATCCTTCATTGGAGTGATCAGGAAACCAATGGTCATTGATCCACGCCGTCCGCTCAAGTAAAAGAGAACGCATCTCCTGTCGTGGCGCGTGGCGGCGAAGGGCGCGTGTGTGAATGGTAATCACAGCCCTTGGTTGCTTTGTCATGCAGACCAAGGCGTCGTGTGCGCCGGTAAGATCGACCACAGGGACCGAAGGATATGGTGCTGTGGACGCGTGGAAAGCCAAAGAATGCCCGTGTGCAGCCACAACGGAGTCACCCAGTTCTGCCTCGGGGGCCAGCCATGTAGACGCAGCAACAGGAGGCAGCGCCTCCTGCGCGGCGTGCGGAGCTCCGTCATGCGCCATGGGTCCAGAACGAAAGCAGGCGAGAAGCAGGTTGTCGAGCGGGTTTGAACCAGCTAGAAAGAAAGATGCGGTGCAGGTGCAGTCATGCAGGCGCCGTGCTCGTGCCAATGTGGGTATTTGTGCTCGTGAGTCGGGGTTCTTACGGTAGGAGGTAAGGCTGGGTTTAGATCAGGGTTAGCGTGTTCGTCTGGAGCATTTTGACTGGCCCGCGCGCGCAAAAGTTACTGTGTGAATTCCTCATGTCCAGTCCGACTGCGCAGGTTCGCACAAAGTGGTGGGGACGCTGTCCGCTGTTCCGGGGCGGTGCTCTCGTGCAGTGCCGTGCTCGTTTTCGGACAGGAAGTGCATTTGGCCTGAACGCAAATCTCCTCGACCTGTCACAGTGGCAGTACCGCTTGTCCCAAGCTGGAGTGTCATGGCCCCAGAGATCTACTTAACTAGTCATGACATGTCATGACAAATTTTGCTAGAACGGCAGGCGCAAGGAATTGGACACATTGGAGCCTTGAAAACGTCATTTTACGTGGCAGGTGCAAGGCATCGGAGCCTTTGTAAATTTCGTGGCAGGCGCAATGTTTTAGAAGACTCACCTCGTTCGCAAACACAACTGAGCTGGCGTCTGCTACGAAGGCTGACGTCCTTGTGGCTACACAGGAAGCTGGAAGGGTCCAAGAACTCTTGCTTGCTTTGGGGCCTGGTGAGAACAGCCAATCAAGATGCAGGGTTGTGTTACGTGATTGGGGCGTGGCGCGGTACACTGCCCGCAGAGGTACTGAGCGTTCGTTGCATCCCGTGCATCACCATGCACCCCACAAACACGAACAAAAAAATCGCCTCCAAAACGACCTCAAAAACCTTCCCTGGCCGCCATGGGGTTCAGCAGGAGGCTCCGAGTTCAGTTAGCACTTTTGCGGGCTACCCCCCCACACCCCCTAGAAGACTCCCGTCGTTCGCAAACACAACGCAGCTGGCGTCTTCTACGAAGGCTGGCGTTCGTAACATACACTCAGGAAGTGCAAGCAACACATATTTTCTTTCAGTTGCATGCGTCAATCCAAGGTGCACGATATCCAGCGCGCAGCGGCGTGGCCGGCAATCTTTCAAGGTAGGAGAAGAAAGTCATCGGCCTCGCGCAGCCGCAGAGTAACACAGGTTCATGCAGAATGACACATGAGCAACAGATGCCTCATGGAAAGTCAAAAAAGATTCTGTAGTAAGAGAACCATGTTGCGCGCAGTCGCAGCAACAGCGGAAGGGAGACAACTATGAGCTAGCCTGTGCCCGGGGTGTCAGCTGCCGTGAACGGTACCTCCTGGGACGCCTTCACTGGACTCTCCCATGTGTCCCCTGCGGGATAGGCCGAGATGCGTGGACAAGCGATGCGGGAGGCACTCTCCGCCAATGTGTCCGTCCAGGCTGGTAGGGGATCCGACGTCTGTTGACGAGAAGCGATCAAGGCAGTCAGTTGCTCCAAACGCCGCAGACATATCATTGCAGCTTCTGCATCGCCTTCTTGCAGCAACTGCAATTGTTCCACCACATATGTGGTTTCACTTGATGTAGTGCTCAGATCGGAGATCAATGCCAGAGCGTATTGGGTTTTGGTTCCAGTCCGTGGAGGATCCAAAATGAAATCCTTCAAAGCATGTCGCTGACAATATGCCACCACAGTCACAGGGCCTGCATCTGGAGCCAAAGCGTCGCGAACATTCTTGGTCACCAACCGAATGCCATAACTGTCTGAGCCCAACGCTTCTTGCTGCGTCCGTTCTTTCGAAAGAAGCATCACCAAGGCCTTCGCACAAGTAACCCGGCGACGTTTAGCGTGGCGTTCCAAGGCACCAGTCTCCAGGTGCGCTACCACAACCTCTGGCTGCACTTGAAAAACGCCAAAACTATTCTTGGTCAATTGCGACAGCAATGCAGCCGCAAACGCGTCTCCGCTGCACGGCACATGGCTCAAGGCATGAACAACGGCCAGCACAGCCTTTGTGGGCGTCGCTTGCAGGTCCTGCTCCGAAGCTTCCACAACTAAGAAGCGCATCCGCTTCGAGGAACTCGTCGTGGAGACGCTGTCAGTCGCCTGTGTGGCACCAGAGTCATTGTCACCACGAAGTGTGACCAAGATCTTGACACTGGCAAGCAAAGGCCACGATAACAGGTCACCGCCATGCTGACTATTGAACTCCATGACGGCATTCTCGTGATCAGCTGTATCGATTTTGGCGAGCTGGCAGGCTGCCTTTTGTCGAATGGCGACTTCCAAGCTGCCGCTACAATCTCGAATCCGTGTGGACCAAAACACACGTCGTTCCACCGTGTGGTGCTCCGGTGGGTAAGGCACATGGATGTTGTTGAGTTGAAACAACTTGCCATGCAAGGCAGCTGCGTCTTGTTGGCTATACGCATCCAGCAAAGCACAAAAGGATAAAAAGCCTTCTTTGCTTGTGTAGTCCGTAGAAACCGAGGGCTGCCATTCATGCGTCAGCGTCTGCCCTGCTTCCTTCCAAATCTCGTTCTGTCTTTCGTCCTGCGCAGCCGCACGGACGGAGACAGCCACTTCACAGCGAAAGTCTTGAAAAGATGGAGTGACCTTGATTTCAGCACCACGGACTTGCACATCGAAGCCAAAGAAAGTCAACGGCTTTTCCAGATTCACCAAAGCAATAAATTCTTCCAGTTTCGCTTGTGATTCCGCGAAAATGGACGTGGTGATCTCTGCCCGATGTCCGTCTTGCACACAAGACTCGTCTCGAAGCACGATGTCCTGCGCCACACGTTGACCCTGCCGGGTGGTTACGGTACGCGGGTCTCCGCGCAGCCGCACGAGACTCGTGATATCGAAGCGTTGTCGACCATCTGTTAACTCCAGAATGTCTTTCAGACGTGTCGGTGGGCCCAGGCAAAAGTTGGGAAATTGTCCCTGTAGAACCGAATCGAAGTGAGTCTGTCGCAGATCCAGAACCACTTTCAACGGAGTGTGAATATATTCGGCTACCTCTTTCTGGAGAAAGACGACAGATTTTATTTCGAAGTGCAAACCCACCTGGAAGCGCGCAGCCGCAGCTTCCAACTCGCCAGACTTCTGTTGCCACATGACCATGCGACCAGACACATATGCACCTTCTTCCGCGCTAGCAAACAGCACGTGCAACCGCTTTCCCTTGGTCGGCGCGCCTTGCCGGGTATATGTGTACTCTTCCACCTTTTGAAACTTTACTTGGACCACAAACCGACCGTGTCGCGCGGCGGCCTGCAGTTCTGACAAAGGAGAGCGACGCCTATCTTCACCTCCGCCCGGTTTCTCGACTTTGACCGTCATAAGAGTCAACACTTGTGGGACTCACACAGGTTCAAGCCATGCATAGAACACAGCGTCCCTATGCGATGCATTAGAAATTGAGCCACAAAACCAACATCCGAGTCGAACTCCATCAAAAGGACATGAACCCGATGCAGAAAAGGTTGCAGACCTCGATCTCAGTAGACAAGAAGGTCAGAGAAGTAACAAAGCTAGAGTCACAAATGCTCTCATGACAGCTACTACCTGTAGCTAGTAAAGGTAGAGTAGAAGCCAAGAAACCACTGTAGCCAAGGCGACACCGAAGCGAAGTATTTCTTTTGATTACTTTTCCTCTCTTTGCTTCAGGTACTGGAGGTGATCTGGTGACATGAGGGTCACCATCGAAGAAGTCTGAGACATTCCTTTGCGAAGGTTTGTGTCTCGGATTCTTTGTCCGAGAACAAAACATGGAATCTGGCAGGCAAAGTATTTGGAGGTCCTTGTTCCAAGATGGCACGAATCTTATTGTCGAGACCGACAGATCGCAGACGATCCAAGGAGCGCACACGTGACAAGGCCACATATGCAGCCAACCACCTCATGTCTGCTTGGAGTCGACGAGGGAAGCGCCAATGAAAGATCAAACCAGGATCTGTCGTTGTACCTTGCAACACATGCAAAGTACTGGCTTTCACAGTCACCAACGGAATCTGCGTCCTACGAATCTTGACAGAGATCTCTTCTTCTGTACCAGTAGCAAGGGATCCAGGGATCGTCACTTTCAGCGACCAACCTTGTTGATTCGTAAATGGTCGCACCAAAAACACGCCACGCATCCGCAAGCATGCAGCACACTCGGCGTCCATGTGCGGTGTATGTTCAAGACAGGCTTCATCGGGCAGAAATTTCTGCGGCACATCTTGCAGCTCCACATAAATAGCTTCCGGAAAGCGTCGCAAAACGACGAAAGATGCATGCAAATCAGTGCGACTCCGATCCTCCGAAGCAAACGCAAAACCCCGAATGATTCCAATTGTATCTACCACCACATGAGGAGCAGCGACTGTCTGAGTGAAGCGCACTTCCATACCAACGTGATAGAGACCATAGTGAGGAAGCCGTCCGGTCTCGTTCATGTTTGGGTGCGCAACCACAGCCCGGGCGATAGCAGCAGCTTTGTCGGCCTGCAGATTTTGGATCATGTCAACAGCACGAGTGGCATACAAGGTCTTGCCCGCTGCTTTTGCTGATTCAAAACTGCGAATGGTATAGGCCATGCTAACCACAGACCAAGTGTAGCAAGCTTGGAAAAAATGCTCAGTGCCGGACAAGCGAGCGCTGTCGCCGGATCCACTGATGTTGGTATTCACCAACGCCTGCCATTCGCTCTGCGTCAACAACGTACCACCCGGAGTTCGCATTTTCCTCAGGATACATTCCAAAACTGGATCCTGGAAACGCATGGCCGTCTGCAGACGGTACACATAACGGAATTGACCGAAGAGATGCACGCCGGCTTTATGTTCATCGCTGGTTCCATCCACACTGGCAAGCAAGGAATGCGAAAAAGGAACAGGAGGTAATTGCAGTTCATCCCCAGAAATGACGACCACCGGCATACGCCCCCAGCTCTCGTCCAATTCCGCATAACGATGAAGCTCCAGCCCCAGGGCCCTTTGCCGACCATAAGACTTCCGCAGCGCATCCGCACGCAGCATCTGACCAATGCATTGAGAGAATTCATCGATGACGATGGCAGCCAGCGGGACAGTGTTGCATTCCAAAGCCTTCCGTGTCTCTGCGGAAACACGCAAATGCGCGGTCCGCAAAGATGAATCTTTGCGCAGCTTGTTTGCGCTGTGCATGGTTCGGCCATGAATCTGACGAGCGGCTTTGTTCGAAGGCGCCTGCGCTTGCATGGAACCATCACCAAAGACTGCTTCAAACAACGGTCTTAAAACCATGTTGATGATCCGAGTCTTCCCACATCCACCGCCTCCAACCAGCAGACATCGCAACAGAACACGATCCTTGGCGAGCATACCATCGCCACTTGGCGGAAGTGATTCAAAGGCATCTTGCAGAATTTTTGCAACAATGGCGACGAAGCCAAGTTGATCGCGGTTCAAAGTGGCTCTGTCGGCCAACACTTTCGCCACCGCCGCCGGACCGCGCAGTCGCAGATCCGCCGCCACCAAGCGCGCAACCGCTTCTTCTTCTGCGTGCGCAACCGCAACGGTCGCCTCCTCCGCTGCGTCATCTGCTGAATCCATTTTGCGATAGAACTCCACACGTTGTTGCTGAGCAGACAACAAAAGCTCAACGGACGCTTGTGGCATCCATCCTCCAGAGTCCTCCACGGGAAAGTGTTCATGGCAAAGTGCCACTTTTGTGTTCAATGCTTTCTCCACTTCCAACATGAAGCGCACTGCATCCGAAGTCCGGGCGCCACGCTGCTTTGCGGATTCCAACTCTGAGACATGCAGCAGATGTGCTCGCACGGCATCTGGATCCTACAGATGAAGAAGCGATGTGGGTAACATATACCATTGTCATGCTGTTCCTTCTGAAGACCACGTCATGTGCATCTCATGTCTCATGACCTCTCTCTCTGTACATATATTGATGTATACGCATCAGTGTCTACATGAAACTATACGCAATTTATTCACGACAGAGGAACCATTGGACGCTTATAATATATCGATCAAGCCATGGACACAGACAAGACATCATAACATAGCAACCAACAAACCCGAAGAGGTTAAAAAGAATAAGAGTTTGAGACATAGCAGTCCTGCGGCAGGAGCGTCATGAGTTCAATGCCTCCTGCCATGGGTCGCTCCACGTTCGCTTCACCCACTCGGTCATCTTCGACAGCGTCGGGTTCACCACCGACATTTTCGATCTCGACCATGATCTGTTGATCATCCGAACGAACAGATGCGGTATCATCTTCGACACTCGCGGTCGTCTTGTCCTTGGCTATCTGAATGGCAGTGTTTCGAGCTTCTGTATGCATGTCCAAGCGGAACACCATGTCCCGTGTTCTATGCGCAACAAACTCAGCCAGATGTAACTGTTCCGCCGCGAATGTATCCGCGACTGGTGCCAAATAAGCAGAAATACAGACTACAAGCTTCTGGAAATTTTGCGTTCCGACGCAGACATGTTTGTTATGTCCATGGTACAGAGCTTGGGAAACCAAAATGTGACACCAAGTGAAACCTTTACCTTCCAGACAGCGAAACGTCGTGGTATCTGCCAGTGTGGGTAACTTCTTCGCTATGCGAATTTTCCGATCAGCTTCAGTGGCCAAAACTTCCACTTCCGCGCGTCGAAGACGCCAAGCAGGAGAGAATCGAATATCCTGAGTCTGCTGGCTACACACATAGGCTGCAGCCAAACTCACAGGGTCAGCACAGGCACCCACTCCGGGACAACGCATCAATCCAAACAGGGTCAACTTGTAGCGAGCGTTTTCTTCACCATTCCCTACGTCCGTGCGACTGCAAGCTGCGCCTACCACGCGTGGCACGGCCATACGAGGAGCCAACCGCTGCCAGTAGGTTTTTGCTTTCAGATAATGCTCATCAAAGAGGAAACAATCGCCCAACTTACCCTGTTGGCGAGGAACGATTTCAATATACGCGACATAACTGTGAAAATTCAAATCTTGTAGGAAGAATCCACGATGCAGCCAATCATCGAAGGTTGAAGCAGTGGCGCGAAACATCCGAACACCAGGTTGTTCCGGCTCCATGTCCACGCGCTCACAACACGGTGCACCCACACATGCTTCATCTCCAGTCTTCGCAACTTCAAGACATGATGCATCCACCGCAACCGCACCATCTCCTTCAACATGTTCACCACTTGCGGCTGTAGACCTCGACTCGGAAATCCGTCGTTTCTTGTCTTCGGAGTGACAACCGTCCTGTTCCAAGGAACTGCGCTCCGCAGAACGTTTGGTAGATTCTCTCGGCAATGGAACCACATGTACCACGTCCACATCAGCTGGACGAGCCGCCTCTTGCACGAAATCGCCGGCCAGTGCTCCGTTCCACAGGCGTTTGCCTTCTTCCAGCAAGTAAAAAACCTTGCTCAAAAACAAAGGACGGTCGATGTGTGTGGCAACGCTGTGCCCACCAGTCAGGACGAAGATTGCAAGCTCACAAGAGGAAAACCAATGAGAGCGGTTGGCGCTAAACAAAATCCGCCGCAATTTGGCACGCGCTAGGTCCTCGGTGGTGCCCAAGATCTTTTTCCCTGCTGTAATCTCTGCATCCAAACGTTCCAAGCCGTGCAGAACAGGAGTAATGGCACTTGCAAGAACTTGCTGACCCTTGGCGAGATATTTGGTCATGTAGAAATCGCACACGTGCGAGCTTCGCACCCCTTCTGCCAAACATGCGAGGATATGCCGCGCATCCGCAGACAATCGAGCGTGTCCATAGAAGAACTGCACAGGCTTCAAATCGACTAGGCTGAACTCCGGCGCCTCACTTGGTACGACACGATCATTTCGTTGCAAATCCACATTACAACGTGCAAAAGCTTGACACAGGTCATTGGAAGTGGATCTGAAGGGGTGTCTGCGAACTACTTGCACGCGTCCGTATTCATTGCGAGTATTGCTGTAAAACACACTCGCTTTCCGAACCAATTCTTTCCCTCGTCGCAGTAAACGCTTCAGCTTGTCCCCGACCTTCAGCTCCACGACACGAACAAACAAAAACCGACAATAGGAGCGAGGATCCAAAGCCTTCGTTTTCCGAGGTGCGCCTGTCTCATCTCCCATGTGTTTTGCAGCATATTTTGCACAGGTCGCGACACAGTTGTGGTCATGGTTTTGACAAAAGAGACCTCGAACATCTTTTCCAAATGCCCTTGCCCAAGCTTCTGCATCTGCACACGTATCTTCCCACTGCGCAACACGTCCAGTAGGTAACCGCAAACCAACGACCCGACGACAACCGTCCAAAACCCACGGCTGCGCATCTGATCGCAACAGCAGATGGTCCTTGCTTGGGCGCGCAACCGCAGCCGGCGGCTCTCGGAAAAGTCCCCGGTCATCTGGCTCGCATATAGTTCCAAAAGCACCCGGCAAGCGATAGAGAGGCATGACAGATTGATGACAGCCCGTCAACGGTACATCCTTGTAACCATGTCTTGGTGGTCGCTGCTCTTGCGAAGCTTTTTCTTTTTCCAACGCAATATGTCCAGGCGGTTCGCTTTCCGTCACCTCCAAAAGCATCCGATGATCGCCGGACTCTTCTACGCCTGCACAACGGCCAAGACAGCCGATGCACAATGCATACAAGCGTTGGTTGCTCGTATACTATTATGGTGATCTGCAAAACCATCAGAATAGTTAAACCTCGTCACACAATCTACATCTCTTCATGTATCCCTTGTCCAGCTTACGTCATGTAAAAGAATCCATTACAAACACATTGAACTGAAGGACACATGCATCATGAACTCCCTCATCGGCCTCCATCTAAGCGGCTGTGTCTTTGCTGTTGTCGCGAGAAAGGTTCTGGTGGAACTGCGACGCCAAGTTGTTGAGCAGGAAGCGTTGCTGTGTCATACTGCACCACACTCACAGCGTCCACAATCTGTTGTCGCATCTGTTTCACGGCTGCTTGCATTGCGAGGCCATCCTTTGCAAACAATGTCTGCAGTTTGGCGGCAGAATCATTGGGCAGACTAATGACCTTTTTGTGTCCATGAGCAAAGCCACGGCCCTGCGCCTCCAACGGCATCAACAAACTTTCTACATAATCGGCAACGCCGAGAGAGGCATTGGACGCCATATGGTCATCTTTTGCCACGCGCAACCGCGACGGCATGTCAGGATCATCGAAACAATGTTGCCCGATGTATGCTGAGTGCACGCCGAGGATCTGTGTCAGAATGATTTCTTCCATAAGCAAAAACACTCGGGCCTGCGTCACTGGCGATCTGGCCACGACCCGATGCATGTGCTGTAAAGCAGGCAAAAGAGGTCGTTCTGCCAAGAGATCCCACTGAGTCTCGCACAGTCTTTCCATATTGCTTGGGTCGAACACTGTCATGGTCAAAGGCATGTAGGTATCAGCGAAATTACATGTCAAAAATAATTTGAGCGGGCCGAAGGTCATGTCCATCGCATGTCCGAAATGGCGTAGTTTCATTTTGTTCCCTTCTGTCAATGGGACTACAGCAGTGCTGGTCAGCAGATGCTTCAGCGCTTTCATGGCTGGTCCATCCCTGTTGCCAGCACTCGCATAAGCCTGACCCAGCGTGGAATATCGTTGCAGAGCCTGGAAATCCTCGGCCTTTGCCTTTGCGATTGCTTGCAGGTCTAACTGAAAAGACTTGTGACTGAGAAACGTCATTTTTGTAGCGAGAAGCAAGCTTTGACGTCGCACGGTATCCGCAAACATGGCTGTCACCTCCGCGTTGTCCCACCTGGACGTTGGCCGCGCCGCATATGGAACGGCGTCTGTTGCAAGGTGATATTCCAACTCTTCTCTTTTCAAAAGACATGCCATGAGCGCTCTTGGCGCAATCCGCACAGGTCTGCGTTGATCAAAAGGTAAGCAATCTCCGAAGAAAAATTCCGTGAAAGCCAAACACCAAGACTCGGGAAGGAACATGGACAGGAGCTGTCCCGCCCGCACTTCCAACACATTGGCATCCGGCGTCCGCGGTCCTTCCAGAAGTTGCAGTTCCGCTTCAATGCTCTGTTCATGTCTGTCGGCCAATCTACGACACACTTCCCGCAGTTCTAAAGCGTGTCCTCGACAGGCTTCTCGAGCCGCAGTCAGTTCCATGCCAGCAACCACTTGAGCATCACCTTGTGCGGCCTCTGCCTTCTCTTCCTTCCTCTGAATGCGAGCTTGGTCCTCCTGTATACGTCGAATTTGCTCCTGTAGGACGACGTAATGCTGCAGAGGATCGTTGTCCGCGGCCTCATCAAGTCCAATGAGGTTCTCTGCTTCTTCCACCGGAGCTTTCCCCGCTTCTCCTTGCGCAGCCGCACAGGACTCTTCACCCTCTGCCTCTGCATCCAACTTTTCCGGCTCTTCATCCAACAAGTCAGCTTCTACAATTTCATCTTCCCGCGACCTCGCTGCCGTGTCCGCTGCTCGCGAGCTAGCCGGACCTGTCAAATTCGGTCGAAACATGTTGGCCTCCTCCATGCGCACAGCAGCAGATACAATTCCCGGGGGCGCCTCATCCTCCTTCAGGTCAACCTGTGCTCGTGCTACATCGATTTCCACGTCATGAAACAACGGACAAAGCTGTTGTCGAAGACGAGCGCATTCGAGGTAAAGGGAACGTGGCACCAACAGTGGTTTCGCTCTGGCTACGTCGGTGCGGGATACAGAAAAAATAACCTGCAACTGTTGACCCACGTCCTCCATGCAAGGCGGCAAGGACTTCCCCACGGCTGAAGTTCGCGGCTGCGCTATGAAAGTGGTATTGCCTTGCAAGCCATGTTGCAACTCACACGCATCTCTTCCATGCTTGTGGTTCAACACCACCTTCCTGTAAAGTACCCGAGCTTGTCCAAGAAGCATCCGTGCAGCCGGCAAGTCCCGAAGCTTCTGGTAAAGCGGATGCTCGCGGCCTCCCCACAGGTCATTGGCAAGCGCTCGCTTGGGAGGCGTGGGTTTCCGGTGACACAAGCTGTGACAACACCACCGACAAAGGAACACCGTGCCGTTACTGTCCCCGATGCCAGCGCAAGGCGGATGCCCTTCCACAGCTGTATCCCGGGAACCATCCTCGCGCGCAACCGCAGCTTCACCTTCCGCGTGCGCATCCGCGACGCTAGCCTCTGCGCGCGCAACCGCAGACTCTGCCTTTTTCCGCAAAGGTACCCTGCGTGTGTGCAACAGCCACCGGTAGCCAGGGCGATCCGGATGTTGCACCGAACTTGCGTGTAGTTCGGCAACTGGAATCTTCGGCCACCGCTCTGCGTATTTGTCCACTCCCAAAAGCTGTTGAATTTCTTCGGCTGGTCCAAAATAATACAGACCGTGCTTATCTCGAAGCAAGTTGCTCCGCCGACGACCCGCCTGCTCATCTGCCGAACCAGCTTGAGCCTCAGCTGCTTCCTCCTCGTCCATCTCCTCCCGCACCTCTTTCCCCAAAGGCAAAGTGCGAAACATGTAGCACCGGCGCATCCGCTCGGTCCATTCCTTCGTTGCGCACACAGCGCATCCCACCATGGCACGAGGTTCGCGCTCGGGGGCTCGAGGCTCTGCAGTTCTCACTGCTGCTGAAACAGACTCATCCCCTAACGGTTGGCTGGCTACGCTGACCAGTTGGGCGGTTGCGTTTCCAAGGATGCGTCTTTTGCGGGCCCAAGACATTGGCAAACCATGACAAGGAGCAGCTTCCTCATGCTGCGCATGCCAAAAGACGCGCTTACGGTACTCTGCCCAGTTCACATGCGCCTGGTCCACGTGCGCAGACAGATCTGTCCAATTCACAAATCCATCTCCACACAGTTCACACACTCGAGGAGCTGTCAAAATAGGCAACAACCCTTTTGGCAACTCTGCTCCACCTGCCACACCATACATGGACTCTGCATCGGTTTTGAAAAACGGTGGGAAAGCATAGGTATCCATTCGAGTTGACAATACATACTGGGCAGGCGGACTTTTGAACAGACCACGGCTTTCCGAGACCCATTCCTCTACCTTTGCCTTTCTTTGATCCCGATGCTGCAATATGCCAAACCAGCCCACCCACACCATAGCAGTACACAAAGATGCCTCCGTCCACAGATCCCGAAGGTCATGCTTCGTCAGAAATGTATCAAAGTCTTGCGCAAGGGCATGTAGTTGCTCCGGCTCTTTCACACCCCAGGCACTCTGAAACCAGGCCGGTTGGTCAGGCATGCTGCATTGCGCATCTTTCAAAGCTGCGACCAACAAATCAAAACTCTCCACTGGTTTGCGGCCATCTACGTCACCTCGCAGCGCCATGATCTCCGCCACCAAAGGTCCATCCAAAAGTGGCAATGCCTCTCGCCGCGCAACCGCAGACGCATTCTGCAACTCCATGGCTGCCATGCGTCGAAGCACGTGCTGTCCATCCCAGTTGGACGGGATGTGCACATCGCGAAAGTCTTTCGCAAAGGGCGTGGCTGTTCTGTGTAAGGGATCCTTCAAAGTGCACACAAAGGCATCCAGACTCTGGGGAGTCCGCATGTTCACCACTGCACAGGCACTCCAACATTGCGGATCAAGCTGCAAATGGCTTCGGAAACGCTCCACAGCTCCTCGGTGTGCCTCTCGCGTGGCAAACTCCGGCTCCGGGCGGACAACCCGACCAGCATGCTTCCTGTGTGCCTTGCAACCGGCCACTAACATAGAAGGAACCTGCTCTTTCTTCGTCACTGTCCCACTGTGCAACCCTTCCAACAATTGGCTGAGCTCGACAGGCGCCACAGACAAAGCCTGTCTCTTGCCCACTGCGCGCTTGAGAGGCACAGCACGATTGCACTGCAGCAACGCCACGGCCTCCGCGAGACTGGTTGGCCCCCGGTCGGGTGGCCCAGACAAGGATGCAGCACGCCCATCGGGAGTGTGTTCGCATTCTTTCAAAAAACGTATACATACACCCATCAGTTCTGACTTTGCTGCATCGACCGAGCGCTCGGTACCTCTACCGGCAACGCGCCGCGCCACGCCCCAATCACGGAAAACAGCCCTGCATCTTGATTGGCTGGTCTGACCAGGCCCCAAAACAAGCAAGAGTTCTTTGATCCTTCCAGCTTCCTGCGCTGCCACAAAGACGTCACCAAAGGAACGAAGCTCAACGTGCGTCTCCAACGATGCATATTGGAGCAACGCTTGAAACTTCACGGGTGGCAACAAATTCAAAAGCTTTGTCTTGACGAGTTCCCGGAGTTCCTCCTGGTTCAAACGCATTCCATTTCGTTTTCCACGGATATCTGCAGTCTGGCAGGCTTCACGAAGGCCCTTTGTGTTGGCATTGAGACCCTGCAACAAGGCCTTGCACTGTGCAACCACAAGCGCATCAGTGACAACGCACGACCCCAGATGCTCCAAGTCACTACGCACAGACGCGGATACAGCACCCAGTAAAACTGCGAAGGTGACGGCGGCCATGGCTGGCCAGGTGGTTTGTCCTAATATCTATAAAAGTGGTGGCGGTGGAGGTAGTGGTGCTGGTCATGGTACTGGTGGTGGTGAAGGTGGCGCTGACGGTGGTGGTCGAGCCAACAACTTCCAAAACGGCAAGTTCATTGAAATTCAAAACCCTTCAAGAACATCTGCACATCGAGATTCACGAGCACACATATGAGAGCATATGGGAGCACATATGAGAGCACATGAGAGCACACATCTGAGAGCACAAATGTGAGAGCACATACAAGCACAAATCTGAGAGCACACAGGCAAGTACATAGGAGCATTTCGAAGTTCACAATGTACCGCGCCTGCCACGAAATCTGCACATCGAGGTTCACAAAGTACTGCGCCTGCCACGAACTCTGCACATCGAGGTTCACAAAGTACTGCGCCTGCCACGAAATCTGCACATCCAGCTTCACAAAGTGCTGCGCCTGCCACGAGATCTGCACATCGAGATTCACAAAGTGCTGCGCCTGCCACGAACTCTGCACATCGAGATTCACAAAGCGCTGCGCCTGCCACGAACTCTGCACATCGAGATTCACAAAGTGCTGCGCCTGCCACGAAATCTGC